TTTAAAACCTTGACCTAGATAAATTCAGGACTAGGTCTAGCTCAGCTAAGTGCCAACTCATGGCCTCCCCCAAATCACGAGCCATCAGAACCTTCAATGCCGCTCGAATCTCCGCCTTCAAACCCCTTCATGAAATTCCCTCCAAAACTGTGTCGGAGAGTCGCTCCACCCTGCTAGCCAGGTGCTCGAATCGTTTCCAGTAGTCTGCTACTGACACCCTCCTGTGTTAGAGCAAAGAACTGCTCATAGAATCTCCTCCCCGATCGATTTGGAAACGTTCTATGATGCATTCTTGAATTCTCTCCAGTTTCTGATAGGCCTCCTCTGATCTTTCCACTGATACCACGACAGGCCTTTCCTTCCAAGCACAAGCTTGTTTCGTCAGCTTCTCCTCTTCCCGTCAGCCCATTGACGGCGAAGTATCCTCCACCTTGTAGACTCCCCATACGAATATTCTCCTTCGAAGATGGGCATCTTAGCTTCCTCACCTTCTGGTCGCCTCCATTGCCCCTATTACTTCCGTAGTTTCCCCTCTCCCAAGTGTAGGTTCCTCCCACGTTTCCTTTCTTCCTTGTCTGCCATGAGCCCATACCCCTTTCGAAAATCCCCCTTCTTTCTTCAAAATCAGCCCCTCGACGCTGAATTCCTCTCTGTTTCCGCCAAAATCAGCACCACGGCGGCCATAGTTACCCTTCTTGGCGCTCCCACATAACCCCCCCTCTCTCTTCCCTCTGGACAGGCTCCAGATGGATCTTCTTCCTTCACCTTCCATGATCTCAACCTCATCCTCCTCCATACGAATTTCAGAATTCGTACTTCTTCCTCCTCCCTTTTTGCCACAGAAGTAGGGGTGTCATATTTGACCGCCGAAAACCCGACCCGGACCCGACCCGGAAAATCCGGGTTGGACCCGACCCGTTTGATAAACGGGTCGGGTTCGGGTTTTCTAATTCGACCCGTTGATAATCGGGTCGGTTCGAGTTGACCCGGCGGGTTGCCGGGTCAACCCGCAAACCCGTTTATTTAAAAAAAAATGAATTTTTTGCTGCCTGACCGCTGCCCGCTCTGCCCTGCCCCTGCCCGGCCGCTTGCCGTCTGCCCCCTGCCCGCGTGCCGCGTGCCGAGATCGGCTGCCGGCGCGCGTTGCCGAGAGAAGCGGAGCCGCTGCGGCGTGCCGCCCGGTGCCGAGAGCAGCTGCCGCCCGCGTGCTGAGAGCGCTGCCGCCGCGTGTCCGAGAAGCAGCGTGACGCCCGCGCCTTCGCCGCTCCGCCCGCGCCGTCGCGCGTCACCCACTGCCGGGTCGCGGGTCGAGTCGGGTCAACCCGGCAACCCGGCCGGGTCGGGTCCGGGTTGAAATGCTCGACCCGTTTTTGCAAACGGGTCGGGTTCGGGTTGACCCGTTAGATCCGTGTCGGGTCGGGTTCGACCCGAACCCGACGGGTTGACCGAATTGACACCCCTACACGGAAGCCGCCGTTTGATTTGCATGCTAACACTTTTTTCATCATCTCTCGGATTTGGCAATTTGCCCCTCCATGGATGAAATCCTTTCTTCCACCGTCATTTTGATCTGATTCATCTCTCCTTCAATTCTTTCCTCCAAGGCATCCACCTTCTTGCCGCCATTACAATCCGAACTTTGTAGAATCACAAAATCTGGAATTTCGACAACAAAAACCAGCACTTTCACCTTTTTCAGACAAAAAAACAGCCGCTGAAATTTGCCCAAAAACAGCCCACAAAAGGTCCCAAGACTTGCTATGATACCAATTTGATAGGAAAACACTTGGATTTCCAAGTGTTTCTCACCAAAACCAAGTAGATCCAATTGTAAAACCTGCTGTCCACAGCAGAAATCAGCAAGAAACAGTGGAAAAATAGCAAATCGGAGAGAAAACCGTGGAGAAAAGACTTGTATTTTTACTAATAGATGAAACAGAATAGAAAAGATACAATTGATCCTCAATTCGAGAGGAGGATCGATCTCTCCCAAATCTCTAGACGCCGCTAGAGCCAAAGAAACCTAAATCTAAGAGATCTCAAATTTCAGCCAAAATTCAAGATGCCCAAACCCTAACAAAAATCAACTATTTAATGCAATACAAATCAAAAGGAATTCCCAAACAGTCCCTACATTCAAATTTCTCTCTAAAACCCCCAAAATCCTTCCTAAAACGCTCCGTTTGAGCTGTCGGCCCGCCCAATCTTCGCAGGAGGCGGAGATCACGCGACGTTTCGCGTCTGAGCCGGTCCCGTGCGGACCGGCTTGGACCGGCTCAGTGGACCGGTCTAACAATGTCATGCTAAGACCCAACTAAATTTGGAGTTTGTTAGGATGTACCTGTAAGTGATGCACCCTAACCAAATTATGAGAAATAGTCAAGAGATCTCTAGTTGTGTCACCTAAAACTTAACCAAATAATTGGTAAAAAGTATGGAAACTGTTGACTAGGGACGGCTATAGCTATCTATTAAATTAGAGCGGAATAGTTGTGAGAAAAATTAGAATGTTTTAAGTGTTGTAGGCTTATAAATATTTTCCTTGCAAGAAAATTTGGACAATAGATTTCTTACTACTAACACACACTAATAGATCTAGCTGGGAAAGAAGTCCTTTTCACCAATATAAACTCCCCCCCCCCCCCTCCCCCACCCCCCACACACACACACACACAACTTCGAATGAGAAAACTAGAAATTAGTGGACACAAAGAATAGAAGAAAAAATATTACATGTTTGGAAAAAAAAGAGAAATTTAAAGATATTGAGGAAGTTCATAAACTATTATATGTTGGAAATTTTAATAATAGCATAATCAAGAGTTAAGACAACGACAGTGATTGTACCACTTTATTTTGAGTTCTTGTTTGTATTTTGATTTATTCATGCATTTTTCCATTTTTACCCTCACTTGAGGGAGTAGGCTTATGTGATCCCAAGGGGCAATTTTGTCATTTGTGTTATTATCGTATTTTGGCTATTTATAGCCTCCTCTTCTTTTTGAGGGGATGGATGATTATTAAGAGAAAATTCTGCACTTTGTTCTTAAGAGATTTGAGAGTTCTTATGAGAGTAGAAGTCCCTAGTTGAGGTTAACGTACTAACCACCAACCGCAGGAAGCATCCAGACTTGTGGTTTGAAGTCCCTAGATGAGGGCAAAGTATTACCCATCAGCCGCAGAAAACGTCTGGGCTCATTGTTTATCTTCTTCATCGACTCCCTCTCCTCATTCTCCCCTAGCCGCCACCTTCATCTCGCTCTGATACCATTCCTCTTCCCTCAATACTTCCCCACCTCTCGGCCTAACCACCTCCACCAAGCCGTCGGCCTCCGATTTCCCCATCCTTATCCGAACCCTTCCCCCACCCAACCATCGGCCACACTACCTTCCTAGCCGCCGGCCACCATACCCCCTCCTCTTGGCTCCAAAATTTCAAAACCAAGCATTCATTATTTTCCTAATTTAAATTCTTGTAAATTTAGAAAGTCAAAAGATTTCAAATTTAAATAATTTTGAATTTGAAATCTCTTTCCTAAAATAAAAGAGTTATGTTAGGAAAGCTCCTCCAATCATGCTATTTGAAATTCAAATAGAAAATTACCATGATTTCTGTCTCTAATTAATATTCCAAGATTGACAAGTCATTAAACACCCCACATGACCCTTTTGATTTTAAATTTTAAATTTCAAACACAGTCATTACTTTCCATAATTAACGTATTTTAAATTAGGAAGATTTTCAAATTAGATTTTAATTTATTCAAAAATCTGAAATCTCTTTCCTAAAATAACATGAGCTATATTAGGAAACCTCCCCCAATCATGCCAATTTGAATTTAAGGGGAGATTGGCCTTATTTTCCCCTCCCATAATTGAGAGCCTAGGATTGACAAGTCATAAAACACTCCAATCAAGTCCACATCAAAGGGACCGGCCCCTCCGTCTCTCCCTTTCCCCTTTTGCTCCTCCCAATTAAGTCTCTCAATCAATTACTTCAAATTAACTTCAGATTTGGGATTTGATTTAATTCCTATTTTCTTAATTGAGATATCATAATTGGCAGCTCTATTAAATCAATAATCCCACCCCAATCATAGCTAGCTTGGTTCTACATCAATAAACTTAAGCTTTTTTTGGGACAGCATGTTAAATGCTTTCTAAAGCAGCTTTCTATTAAAAAAAAAAATTATTCAAAAAAATTTTATACTAAAAAACTACCTTCGAAAGCAGTAAGAAAATTGTCCCAAATGAAGCCTTAATAACAACGTAATTGCTAATAAGTAAATTATCAATGAGGATGTAACATTGGGGGCCAATGTCTATGCTTCTCAAATTAGGTTAGAGGCTTAAAATTTAATTTTGGTAGGAGATAATTAGACTATTATAATGTATGCTTGAGGAAGAGAGTATTCTCATTGGCAGTGACTTAAATTAATGACCATGTTTTAAGATGACAGTATATGAGATTCTTCATAATAGGAAACAAAAATATGTTGGGAGAATCTATATGCTTGATTTACCAAAAAAATATGATGATCATGCAATAACATAAAAAACACTTATATTTTCAAAAATAGAACTACAAAATTGCAACAACAAAAAAAAATCTAAGGAAAACAAACCTTTTTGTATGGATTGTCAGTTGTTTTCAAGAAAGAAGGCTAGCTATGCAACATAAAGTTATAATTGTGGATGAGCAGCTTTCAATGCTGAATGAAAGTAGGGTTTTTCTTAACAAGGTGTTACACCATACAGATGAAATTTTTTTAATAAATATGAATGTGGAAGTGAAAAATATAAATGTGGGAACTTGGAAATCAAGTTGAGCAATTGAAAAGTAAGCAGGCTTTTGATAGTGAATAAAAATAATAACACAACACATCATACACACAGTCCCAGAGCCAAGTGTGGGAATGTTGAGAGGAAGTAGTGGACTGGGGGATCTAGAAAGTAGTCGGGGCAGTGCCGTAGAAGACCAGATATTAACTACTACCCACCTTTCTCATGGCTTTGGCTTGTCAATATGGCAGCATTCACCTCACTTGCAGTCTTCAATCGTTGTGACAGATCCAAAAGTTCACCAAACGGACAGTTCTTTACATCCTCAAATGCCAGGAGTGCAACAGTCCTCTCTAACTCCTCCAAAAAGTTTTGCTGAAATAGAAAATCAGGAAATAAAATGCATTTCATCAATATTAGCCCAATTAAATTATTGTCCCGTTGTTACAGTAAACTTATGCAAGTAATCACAAAAAAAATCAATTGAAAAAAAAGGTCTTCTGATTGCATGTACCAAATGTGAGATGCACATAAGAAATGGATATAAAAATTAACATGGAATAAAAGGCTATACATTTTCCTCCCCTCTTGGGGCAAGCTCCTCCTGCGCAAACTCAAGAGCCTCTTCTACTTTTCCATATCGTATCAATTCTATCAGCTTTTGTTGTTGTAGATGGAAATATAAATGTGGATTGGTATTTAAAATCTGCAAAAAAAAATCTAAAATTAAATTAGACATCAATAAAGAATATACGTGCAAAGAATTTCAAAGTAGTACAACCTGACATTATCACATGCATGTTCCCGTTTTCAGACGAGCACAAAGTAGTTTACAAGTCACTTGCAATTGCACCATTATTTATCCCAAAAGCTACATGTTGGGTTCCTACATTCCTCATCCTTAGCTCCAAAGTCTAAAGAAAATCTTCGAACACTAGCCCAAAAGTCATATATGTTGGACACCTCCTTCTTAAACCAAAACTCTAAGTAGCATTTCATTTAACATAACAGTTGATCTCTCATATGGCATTTAAAACATAACATTTAGATGTCCCTTAGGAGTTTTCTATCATCTGAAGTTCACCTTACCAAATAAGGAGAACTTCACAAAGACCTAAGTATAACCCTTAGGCATGTCTACTTTACCACATTAGATAGACACTCTCTCATCCAAACACTAAGAGAAACCCAAAAATAACCTAAATTCCTTTGATACAACGATCAATTATTCCATAGTTCCACCCTAAAAGGTCGAATGGTTGCATCACTATATCTAAGAACTCATAAGTGGCAAGCTTGCCTCAAAACAAGCAGTGGCTTATTATGGATTCTTCATAACTCTCCTAAATATGAAACACATAAAAATCAAATAAAAATCTTTAAGTCATAAACAACTTAATGAGAAATCACCCCTGGATTAATTTTAAACATCTCTAATCCTCAATAAAATAAAACACCTTTCATAGTGTGACATGTCACACAAGCCTCACACACCTAGGCGTACAGCCCCCTAGGCATGTTAGGATTATAATTTTTTTTTCTTTTGTTGCACATGTGGTGTGATTATGATGCGGACATCCGACGGTGGACGATATTCAAAAGAACAGTCGAAGATCAATGGCCGAGATCACTCCGTTTTATTTTAGTTTATTAATTGTATTTTAATTTAATTTTACAATTTTCCTTTTTTACCATTTTTATTTAAGAGTATTGTCTTATGTAAGCCCATGGGCCAATTTATTTTTTAGTTTCTTTTGAGGCCTATATATAGAAGCCCCTTCTCTTATATGAGGTATGATGGAATTATAATAAAAATTTGTGTTTTGCACTTATGTTTTTTTTTTAGGACATTAGTGAGATTCATATGGGAAGGAATCGGAGTTTCCACCAGCTGCAGGATGGATCCGAGCTCGTGGCTTGAAGTCCCTTGGAGAAGAGCAACGTATCACCCGTTAGTCTTCGGAAGTGTCCAAGGCTCGTAGTTTTATCTTTTATCTTTTTGTTTCTTTGTTGTTGTTCCTTCTTGTTGTTCCTTTTCGCCATCTTCATCCTCTCTCTACTTCCACTAAATCGGCCTTAGCTCCACCACCACTCACGACCAAGCCATAAGCTGCCTGATGAGTACATCGAAGATCAATGGCTACGATCGTGTCTATTTATTTTCATGTATTTTATTTGTTATTTGTACTTTTCCATTTCTACCCTCACTTGAGGGCTTTGCTTTATGTTGGCCCTAGGGGCAATTATGTCTTTTATGTTTCCTTCATGTAATTGGCTATTTAAGCCTTCTCCTTCCTCTTGGAAAGGATGATGAATTATTGAATGAAAATAAAATAGATTGATCTATTTTAGGAAAGTCTTTAAATCAAATCCAAATTAATGACCTCCACTTATGGTCGGCCCCTCCCCTTTCCATATTCCCTCTCCAATTATCTCCCCTCCATTAATTAATTCTCTAATTGGATATCCCATTATGGGAATTAATTAATTCAAATTCTAAATCTCCCCCACCCCCATACCCATTCTACATCAGATTGCCTTTGAATTGTCTGCATTGTGGGCACTTGCTCTGCATTGTTCATGCTTTATATACACATGCTCCTAACCCTCTATCCTATAAGTTTGAGTTTTTTCATTTCCTAAATGTATTTGATTAGATTTAGGTTGTATGTTGAATTTGAGTGGTTCAATTGGAGGAGAGGTGGATCAAGAGGATGTACTTGTTAAAGGAGAAGCTCAAGGTCTACCTGGAAGCCAGAGCTTGAAGACCCCCATAAGTAGAGTACCTAAAAAATTCATCTGCCTTGTATAATGACAGACAACTCAGTTGTCAAATTTGAATGTATTAATTTAGACTCTATAAATTCATCTGCTTGTGTGCGTGTGTGTGCGTGTGCGTTGATTTCGTGTTTTTCCTTTTTATTTCGTGTTTTTCCTTTTGTACCCCTATGAGGGAGTTAGTGTTTATTGTAGCCCAAAGGCAATGTTGTCTTTTGACTTTTATTTTCGGTTAGCCTATATATAGGCTTTATCATTATATTTGCTCCTTAGTTTTTTATGAATGAAAATTTACAGTTCATGTTCTCTTTGTGAGTGCAACCCTCATCGATCTCTTAGTGAGTTCGTTGGGGAAACTAGATCTCTTTGTGAGTTCTAGGTTTTCTTCTCCTTCTCTTTCTCTTTTGTTCAAGTCCTTGTCGTGGAGATTCGGATTGAAGATACTTGTGGGTATTGAAATCGTATCCATTGAAACCCTAGGAATTCTCCCTACGACCCTCCTTCCCCTTGCTCCCTGCCGCCGCCCTCCCTAGGCAATCCAGCCCGTCGGCCTGCAGCCCAGCAGCCCACTGGCTGCCGTCGCCACTTCCCCTAGCTCTCCCCTTGTGGATTTTGAATTTACCCTTCTTAATTGCTTTCCTAATTAAGCCCTAACCAATTTGAAAAGTTAATTATGAGGAGTTACACTTGATTTCAAATTCAAACTCCAATTCCCTCTCTTTGTATTTGAATTTGGAGAGTTACTTAATATAATTATTTCTGAAATTAAAATCAGAAGCCTGATTATATTTATTTCCCTCTTTGTGGTCCCCACCTATTCAAATCATCAAAGCCACATCACCACCTTACAAGGCCGGCCCCTCTCCCTCTCTCTCCCCTATTAATTTTCTTTAATGCACCTTTAATTCCTTCCCTCTTAAGCTTAATTTCAAATTCAAAATTCTGAAATTGAAATTAAGATCTCTCCAATTCCGGAAATCTGAAATAAACTTCAGATTTTGTGCTTCTTCCTCCATAGCCTCACCCGCCCCTGCTCCTCTCAAACCCATGAACCCCCTCCTCTCTCCCTAGCTCACGGCTAGCCCTCCCACCTCCCTTTTGTCTTCCCTACTCAATCCAACCATGCATGGCGGATCCCAAATTTGAATGGGGACTTGTGTTCGACGCCTACGGTAATATCAACATCCTATGATCTCCATTCTTTGACGTGGGATTTGATCACGAAGACAACACAGTTGGAGGTTACTTGGATCGAATCCTCCCTATTCTTGTGCAAGTCGTCGACCAACAATTTGCCGACTACGAGTGGATCATCGACGGTCAACATTCCTCGCCACTTCCACATCCTACGCCTCCCTCTCCATCACAACGGATCTTCGGCACCGTCTACCTCAGAGCGATCTCGTTCCTTGTGTGGCTCTTCTTCCTCCGACAACCCTAGACATAGAAGAGTGATTTAAGCCTCAAGGTGAGACGATCGCTTTGTTAACTGCCGGATTCTAGTTGGCTATTCATTGTCATTACTTTTGATTGAGGTTGTTATTTTATAGATCTTGCAAAGTTAGTTGTAACAACTTGCCTAGACTTTGTTGAATTCTAAGATCTTTATTGAAGTATCAATTGAAAGAAGCATTAAAATTGTATTATCATTATTCTAACCAACTCTTATTAATTTCTAAGAAACAATTCTTGGTTTCACATCAGTTTCCCATCAAGTACTCCTACTCTTCCTTCCTTTGACTCTCATTCCAAGAACTCCAATCAATGTTGATCCCCCTCTTCCTTTGAAATTCCTAAAGGCCAAAAATTTTTAAACAAGAATTTTATAAATTTCAAAATGAAAACTTTAGTCAATATTTTATGCATTGTTCATGCTTTATATACACATGCTCCTAACCCTCTATCCTATAAGTTTGAGTTTTTTCATTTCCTAAATATATTTGATTAGATTTAGATTGTATGTTAAACTTGAGTGGTTCAATTGGAGGAGAGGTAAATCAAGATGATGTACTTGTTAAAGGTGAAGCTCAAGGTCTACCTGGAAGCCAGAGCTTGAAGACCCCCATAAGTAGAGTACCTAAAAAATTCATCTGCCTTGTATAATGACAGACAACTCAGCTGTCAAATTTGATTGTATAAATTTAGACTCTATAAATTCATCTGGATTGTGTGTGTGTATATGTGTGTGTTGATTGTTTACTGGATACGCAATAGAAGCATACTTTTTCTTAAGTTTCTTCTCTTGTTTTGCTTGGAAGTGGCATGGATTTTTGATACGGTTAGGCTCTTAGGACAAAATTAAGATTTTTACCTATTAAAATGTAAACAATATAAAATCAATTTTAGGCTCCATATTTGTCTAAATTTAAGAAAATTTGCATAGCTCCCTTCAAGGAGTCAAATTTTTTAAAGTTCAAATTGATCATGCATAGCCTAGTAAGTCTCATATAGAAAAGCCTTCACTTAATGATCAAATAACTATAAAAAAAATAAAAAAATTGCATCTTTGTGAGTCAGCATTCTGCATACCATTCATGATCAGACATCTTAGCCTCAAAACCAAGTTATAAGTCATATACTCTAAATAAAAAATAATCTTTCCTACTCTTCATAAGCATTAAGATCGACTGTCATGGTTTAAAAAGCGATTAGGTGGATTAGTTGGTAGCCCTTTCTAGACAGAGCAATAAATCCATAGGTCGGACTAGCTATGTCTCATGTGAGGTGTGGTTTGTAATTTTATTTCTCTCCGTTAGACTTAGATTCGAGGCGCTACCCTTCAGTAGTCTTCACCGATCTAGGACAGTTGTTGATTTCAATCACTTCATAAGTCATCACCTTTCAGGCATTTTCTCCAACACATGTTGTTGGAATGTAAGCCCCAACATTCTAAATTAAAATTATCAACTTAAATAAAAATAGTATTCT